GAGGACATAGAGCTTTTGCAACGCAGTTGATCAGACAGATTGAAGATAGTCTGGAAGATCAATTGAAGTTGAAGCAGCTTAAGATACAGCTAGATGAGAAATTTGAAGTCTTAGGAAAATTGGATGACGAAATTTTGGATCTTGTAAGCGAAATTGATGAAGATGGTTTGGGATGCTTACAAGAAATTTCTGAGGCTGGAGAGATGAAGGAAAAAATAAATCTAGCGCTGCTCAAGTTGAAGAGTTTAGTGAAGAATGAGAAGCAGTTGGAATCGCGGAAGCCTAATTTAACAAGACATGGCTCAGAAGAATCAGTTTATTCTGTAGAAAGTTCAGCGTCGTCAGCAACTCGTAAAGTTCGTGCGAAGCTACCGAAGTTGGAACTGAAAAAATTTAGTGGCCGCCCCCAAGATTGGCAGGAGTTCTGGGATAGTTATAAAAGTGCGGTTTACGAAAACGAAGAGATTTCAAAGATTGACAAGTTTTCGTATTTGAAGCACTATTTGGAAGAACCTGCCAAAAAAGTAATTGCTGGACTTGCTTTGACTGAAAAAAATTATGACGTAGCTGTCGATTTGCTTGAACAGAGATTCGCGCGACCAACGACGATAAAAAGGGCACATATCAACGAGCTTCTGAATTTAGATGCGGTTTTTAATGAAAAACATGTTAAGAAGATGCGAGAACTTTATGATACTATTGAGACACACCATCGTGGATTGAAAGCCCTAGGGGTCGACGAAACATCATACTCGAACATAGTTGTACCTGTTTTAATGGACAAGGTTCCAGAGGCTGTTCGCCTGTATATGATTCGAGGAAGTAAGAATCACCAAGAATGGGATATGGAAGAAATGCTTGTGGCTTTTCGAGAAGAATTGGAGATTCGTGAACAGCATGTTTCGATTTCAATGGCTTTGGGAAATGGGACCGTTTCTGGTAGGACGTCATCAGAACGGCGAAGTGAGATGAAACCGAGGTTTCCTGGTCGAACAACAACAGCGAGTGCGTTGTTCACGAAACAAGATGGTGGGTTTGTGAGAAGAAAGTTCTGTGTATTTTGTAAAGAAGATCACGAAGAAGCCGATTGTCACAACGTCAGGAACAAGGAAGAAAGGAAGGATCTTGTTTTTAAATATGGACGTTGTCTTTTGTGTTTAAAAAAGGGACACAGAGCTTATCAGTGTCATTCGAAGGAAAAATGTAAGTTGTGTAACAAACGACACCATGTTGCAATTTGTAATGTTGTTGGTAGTCAGCCTAGTGCTAACCAAGCTCGTGTCAAGACTGCTGATACTACTGTTACCACTTCTTGTGTAAGTAATATAGATTCTGGGGGGAGAGCAGTCTTGCAAACCGCCAAGGCCATAGTTACAGGTAACATAAGGGATGTTAAGGCACGTGTTCTTTTTGACTCAGGTAGTCAGAGGAGTTTTGTAACACGAAGTATGGTAGAAAAACTTGGTTTGAACCCCATTAAGCAAGTGCGCTTAGGTATAAAGACATTTGGATCTCAAAATATGAGCGAGAAGATAAGAGATGTGGTCGAATTAGAGTTAAAAGGAGTTGAAAGTGGAGGGAAAGTGAAAATACAGGCCTTTGTTGTTAATGAAGTTTCAGAAATACGCAATGAACATGTTGAAATATTGAAGTATGATTATAAGCATCTTACTAACTTGTGGTTTTCAGATGTTTGTAGGCACGAAGATTCCCTTATTATAGACATTTTAGTTGGAAGCGATTGGCTTTGGACGCTTCAAGATGGTCGTATAATACGAGGGGAGCCAGGAGAGCCTGTTGCCATTCATACTAAGATTGGATGGGTTGTGTCAGGGCCAATAAAGGGTAAGTTAACTGATTTGGCAGAATCTTGTTCTTCAAATTTGGTTGTAAATGGTAATGGTATAACAGTTAATTTGATGCACCAGAATAAGGAACAGGAATTAGAACAAGACATTAAAAAACTGTGGGATCTTGAGACTTTAGGAATTAAAAGGCAAGATAAGGTGCATGAAGAATTTTTGGATAATATAGAGTTTAAAGGAGATAGATACTCAGTTTGTTTGCCTTGGAAAATGGGGCACAAGCCCCTTTCTACTAATTATACTCTTAGTCTCAACAGATTGAAGGGGCAGTTGAAAAAGCTCAAGGAGAAGCCTGCAATAATGGAAACTTATGATGGGATTATAAAGCAACAAGAAAGGGATAGAATCATTGAAGAGGTTACAAGTCTTGAGCTAAGTGAGAAGCTTAGTTATCTGCCACACCATGCCGTTGTACGAAATGATGCAGAAACAACAAACGTAAGAATAGTATATGATGCCTCTGCAAAAGATAGGAAGTCAGGTACCTCTCTAAATGAGTGTTTACATGTTGGACCACCATTAAATCCACTTTTGTTTGATATCATGATAAGATTCAGAGAAAATAAGATTGCAGTAACATCTGATATCGAAAAGGCATTTTTGAATATTGAAGTGGATAAAAAGGATAGAGATTGCTTGAGGTTCTTATGGATTGATAGTTCTTGTGATAGTGAACCAAGCATTAAAGTTTACCGCTTTAATCGTGTTGTTTTCGGAGTAAATAGTTCTCCTTTTTTGTTGAATGCTGTTGTAAGACATCATTTAAGCACTTATGAAACAGCTGATCCAGAGTTCTCAGCAAAATTGTCTAGAAGTTTCTATGTAGATGACCTAGTGTTAGGATGTTATGATGTAGAAAGTGGTAAAGAACTCTATAATAAGGCAAAGAAAAGAATGTTAGAGGCAGGATTTAACTTAAGGAAATGGAAGAGTAATGATCCACAACTTGCTCAATATTTTAAGGTTATGGAAGAAACTGGGAAACATCCTGCAGATGGAGGGGGTGAATGTAGCTATGTAAAGGAAATGCTAGGGGAAGAAATTTCAGACACTAAGAGTAAAGTTTTGGGAATAACATGGGATATGTTGAAGGATAATTTGGAATTTGAGTTGACAAAAATAGAGAACAGTGTTCCAAATTCACCTGTTACTAAGAGAACCATCTTAAGCATGATTTCCAAACTTTTTGACCCTTTAGGACTTGTGAGTCCAATTATTGTAAGTGCAAAGGTTTTGTTTCAGGAATTATGCACCTTGAAGTTAGGATGGGATGATGAAGTACCAGTAGAAATGCTCAATAAATGGAATAAATTTGTATGTGATTTAAGTTCAGTGGGTGTTATTTCCTTACCAAGATGTTTATATGAAAAAAGCACAGATAAGGTAAATAAGTGTTATTTACATGGGTTTGCAGATGCCAGTAAGAAGGCTTACTGTGCAATGGTTTATTTAGTATACGAGACTGATACTGGAATGCATTCAAGATTGATTTGTGCTAAGACAAGGGTTGCTCCACTTAAGGAATTAAGCATTCCAAGGTTAGAACTTATGTCAGGTCGTATTTTATCTACACTTATGGAGACTGTGTATAATGCGTTAAGCCCACAAATTAAGATAGACGGTTGTAGGTACTGGTTAGACAGTAAGACAGCATTATACTGGATAAATAATCAAGGTGAATGGAGGCAATTTGTACAACATAGGGTCAATGAGATTCTGAAAATTTCTAAAAATGAAGACTGGGGACATTGTATTGGAGTTTGTAATCCAGCAGATTTGGGTTCTAGGGGAGTCTCTTCAACAATTTTAAGA